GGTAAAAATATTATTTTAAATCAAGGGGGGAAACCTAAAAACCCCTAGGATTTAAGGCCCGGGGGGGGATTGGGAAAGGGTTCAGGGTTAAATTTGGGAACTGGGGCAAAGATCCCTTCCCTAAATCAAGAGCCCCTCACCACACAAAAACCTTCCCCTGAGGGGTTCAGAGGGGACAAGCAAAAAAATTAGAGATGGGGGTGACCTCGAAGACACGGGACCGAAGGAGCTGGTGGGGGGGGGGACCCCAATTGGGGGTCTCCTGCCTCGGAATAAGGGAAATTGGGGAATAAACCCGAAGGCAAGCCGAGAACACCATTGCAAGGCCTTCACTCTCCTTAAGACAAGGGTTTTTACGTTCATTAAGACAGCCTGACATCGGCAGGAAAAAGAATGCGGGCTTCATTTCATTAAAAAAAAAATGGGGGGGGGAAAATTTATTGGCATAAACTTGGGACGCAGACTGGCACCCCTTTTGCAGACCTGCAGATTTACTGGGTGTCCAAATTATTATTATTATTAAAATCAAGGGGAAGCGCTAAAAACCCCGAGGGTTAACAGCGCCTGGGGGGGATTTGGAAAGGGATTCAGGGTTAATTTGGGGGAAATGGGGCACGGATCCAATTCCCCAAATAAGACCCCTCACCAACTCAAGGAACCTTCCTTGAGGGTTTGGGGTTTTAAACGCCAACAATTTTGACGCTGTTTGGGTGAGGGCCACTTTCAGACCCCTAGGGGGTTCCCGCATATAAATGGAGGGCGGGTTCACGGGGAATCAAAATTAAGAGGCAATGTTTTACGGGGAAATGCCTCACCAGGGCAGGGGGACATTTATCCACTTTGAGAACGGAAGGGCCTGAAAGGGGTTAATCGCTAAAAAACGCACTGCAAAACGAAAATCACACTGTACAATGGTACACGGGAAACCCCCGTACCACTGCAAGAATTTTAGAGTAGCGTACTGTGAACTGTGAAGGGTTATTATAATCAAGAGGGAATTTTTATTATTATTAAATCAAGGGGAACAAGAGGGGAAACACTAAACCCTAGGGAAATTTTCGCGCCTGTGGGGGGGGATGATTTGAAGCTATTCAGGTTTTTCAGGGAACTGGGGCACAGACCCAATTCCCTGAACAAGAGCCCCCACCCCTCAAGGAACCTTCTTTGGGGAACTGGAAGGAACTTATCAATGGAATTTAAAAGGCAAAGATCAGACCTGAATCGTGATTTTTATTATAATCAAGAGCCCCCACCAACCAAGGAACCTTCCTTGAGGTCTGAATCGTGAAAGGATATATTTTTACCAACGTGTTGGAAAGAACTTTTCCAAACTAGGCGAAAGATAATCAGTTGGGGATTCGGTTTTTAGGGAAAAAAAATTTGCGACTGTGTCCGGGAAACAATGTGTAAAGGAAGTGGATGTTGTGTAGGTCATTTCTGGGTGGAATGACAGAAATTGAAAAACCGTGGTCAGCATATGGTCTAAACGTTTAGGCATAGGACCGCGGGCAGCCCAACCTGAGTAAGGCGAGGCGATCCAAAAACTGTCGCACCGTATGGGGAAGCCGGACGTATTAGTTAAAGGCATGCAAGAGGCAGAGTCACTAACGAAATGGGTGGAGCCTTGGCACCTACAGCAGGTGACGTAGTGTCACCAGCAGGAGGTACAAGGGTGTGGGAAAAGTCTGAAGAATGGTCCCATAAAGCAGTCAGACCAGGATGCAGTAACAAAAAGGAAGGAGGGTCACAGAACCTATATTATTATTATTATCATTATGATCACAGGGAAACGCTAAACCCGTAGGATTATACAGCGCATGTGGGGGAGATGGAAGGTATTCAGGCTCAATTCAGGGAACCTGAGAACAGATCCAATTCCCTAGATCAAGAGCCCCTCACCAGCGTCAAGGAACCTCCCTTGAAGGGACGGAACGTATACGTCATGATGGTGGTACTTTCTATTTTATTGTTACTAGAAGGCACGAAAAGGCCGGAAGTTCCCCCTCTCATCCAAGAGGACCTCGAGACCACCAGCAGTGCATTCTTATTATTATTATTATAATCAAGGGGGAAGCGCTAAACCCGGAGGATTATACAGCACCTGGGGGGGGGGATGTGGAAGGCATTCAGGCTTAATTTGGGGATTATTATTATTATTATAATCAAGGGGGAAGCGCTAAACCCGGAGGATTATACAGCGCCTGGGGGGGGGGGGATGTGGAAGGCATTCAGGCTTAATTTGGGGAACTGGAGCACAGATCAAATTCCCTAAATCAAGAGCCCCTCACCAACATCAAGGAACCTTCCTTGAGGGGACCAGCAGTGCAGATGCAGAGTGGATTTATATAATCATTGGGAACGCTAAACCAGTAGGATTATACAGCGTGTGGGGGGATGTGGAAGGTATTCAGGCTTAATTCGGGAAACTGGAGCACAGATTCAATTCCCTAGATCAAGAGCCCCTCAACAGCATCAAGGAACCTCCCTTGAGGGGAGATACAGTGTGGAACCCATGCAAACCTTACCCTTGACACCAGTAAACCAGCACTCCGGGATAGCAACCTCACATCTACCAACCCACCTCGGCGGACAAGAGAGGGGGGTCAGAGTCCCGCCTTGTTACCTCCATCGCTTGCCACCTCCCAGAACCAACAGGCAGCCTCTGGAGATGCACCCATCACCTGCAGGACACACTGCCACACCTCCTGGAAACCCCGGAAGGGGGCAGGGCACCTACAGATGATCCCGGTTCCAAGGCAAACTATGCAACTCCCGATTATTATTATAATCAAAAAGAAGCGCTAAGCCACAAGGACTATACAGCTTGCAACTCCCGAGGAACCCCACGGAGCGGGAGAACCCGCCACACTTCCCCCTACCTAGAACCCATAATGTCAGAGGGAAGCCCAGAGGCTATAAACAGGACAGTGAAGAGGACAGGACAGTGAAGAGGACAGGACAGTGAAGAGGGAGGGATGGGAGGGGTAGGAAAGGGAAAGGGGGGCTGGGGAGGATAGGATAGAGAAGGGGGGCTTGGGGGGTTATTAGATTTGGTCTGAAGGAGACCAAAAGGTCTAATTCCTCCAACCAAGAGCCTCTTCACCACGCCAAAGACCTTCCCCTTTCAAGAGCTTGATCTTAACAGAAAGATCAAAAAGTCTATAATAATCATGAGGGAGCATTATTATAATCATGAGGGAGCATTATTATAATAATCATGAGGGAGCATTATTATAATAATCATGAGGGAGCATTATTATAATAATCATGAGGGAGCATTATTATAATAATCATGAGGGAGCATTATTATAATCATGAGGGAGCATTATTATAATAATCATGAGGGAGCATTATTATAATAATCATGAGGGAGCATTATTATAATAATCATGAGGGAGCATTATTATAATAATCATGAGGTAGTATAATAATAATAATAATGAGGGAGCATTATATTATAATCAAAAAGAAGCGCTAAGCCACAAGGGCTATACAGCAGGGAGCATTATTATAATCATGAGGGAGCATTATAATAATAATGAGGGAGCACTAAACCCATAAGATTATATAGCACCTGTGGGGGGGGGGGATGGAAGGTATTCAGGTTCAATTCAGGGAACTGGAGCACAGATCCAATTTCCTAGATCAAGAGCCCCTCACCAGCCAGGGGCAAAAGGTCAAATTCTTCAGACCAAGAGGTCTTCATCACAGCCTGGTTGATCTGACACTTGAAGTAAAGTTTGTGTGATAAATCTGTTGCTGTCAAAAGTCAAAGCGGGAGTGTGTCAAAGGTGGGAAGACAAAGTAAGGGTTTAGTGCAGTGACTGAGGTAAATTCCGCGTGCTCACTGGTAGACAGGACAGTCCAGTAGAATATGGCAAACTGAAATTGGAACCTGACAATACTCAGAGTGGAACAGGGCGCCTCTCCATGAGATACCCACGAGTTAGATGGGTGTGCCTGATGTGAAGACGGGAGAGCGTATTGTAATCAAAAAGAAGTGCTAAACCTACAAGGGTTAGTGCAGTGGGGCAGGGAATAGTGCAGGATTATACAGTAGCAAGGGTGGAGAGGACAACAAAGGGAGAGTTAGAAAGAGCTGTGAGGAGTGCTACAGGAAAAGTCAAGTGAAGGAGTTCAAGTCAAAGGTGGACCCATCAGTAAGGAGGGAAGATAAAGTGTGTTAGAGCACGAGTCTTCCAACCTCAGCATCAATAACAAGGCTAGAAACCCCAACTTGGTTTGATAGAATGTAATTTGTTAAGTCATATCGGAACAATGTTGTTGCCAACGGTTACGAAGGTGGTTAGAGATTACAGCAAGATAGTCTGAGTATGGAATACCTCGATATGAAACCGAAGATCATGTACCACTGACCGTGCAGCAGTCTGCTTGCTCGTTGCCCTGAACATGACCGGGGACCCAACAGAAAACAGTTTCTTTGTTTATGCTAGAAATGCGGAACAACCAAAGTTGTATATCAAGAACTAGGGGATGAGACTAATCCAATTTTTTAACAGCTTGCAAAGCACTAAAGGAGTCCGAGACTATCACAAATGATGAGGTGGGTCTGGTCACAATACGGATAATTGCAATGAGAACTGCATACAGTTCATTATAACAATAAAATAGTGTTAAACCACAAGGGTCATACAGCACAGCAGGGCAAAGAAGGAAGCAGGGGTATTGGGTAGCAAGAGGGAGAGGGATGATGAATAGGCTATGGAGTACAGCGGGGCAGTGGATAGTGCAGGGGTAGAGGGTAGCAAGAGATTGGGGTAGAAAGGACCGAGGGGAGTGCTAGAGGCATCATCTGAGTGTGTAGTAATGCAACAGTTCAGCTGTGAAAATGTTAGCAGTCTAATAAACGTCCTTACACAACACTGTCCAGAAATACTGCTGCAAACCCGACACCGTCAGATCTGACCGATATAGAGAAACATAAGAGACTCACTGTACAATAACTTTCATTCTATTACAAAGGATAAAAAAAATAACACTGGATAATATTCTTTATATAAAATATCAATTATAGGTTCCATTAAGCTTGGTGACAACTGGGTAGTGAGAGAAGGATAAGTTCAAACACACTAACCATGGTTAAAGTTCAACACTAGGAACCAAGCATGCAACACCCAGCTTTACCGCACTCACTGCTTGTAAACCTTCTCTCCATACACTGCCTTATTTTGTAAATGGGACTGAAAAAGGATAGTCAAATTGAACAGCGGGCAAAAAGGGCATCTAAAGCAAGTGCTGTTCAATTCTCAAACTTTATCAGTGGCATTTACAAAGAACTGGCTTTCTATAGAGGGGCTTTATATAAAGTGGTTTGATATAGACGCTTTATAAAGCTGACTGGATATAAATTATTCCAACAGGATGGTTTACCAAGAAAAAAAAAAATAATAGGAAACTAAGTTTATTCCGGTTTATATTTCTACTGAACTGCCTCGAGTCAATCTCCGAGGATTGATGGGAAGTCCCACTCGAATTTCCAATGGCACTCCCGGAACGAGTTGATCTAATGGCCACCCTCGGAGCCTATCGCCTGTACCGTCCGTTACACACACAGCCATCAACTGCTTTATATCTGAAAAAATAAAACAGGTTTTAGACACGAATTAAATATTCTAGGGCTGAATTGGTCACGTCTTAATGTGTCTGGCAAGAATGACAGTCATATGTAGATTTTAACAGCAACCACCCAGGGAGGTACTACTGTCCTGTGGTAGTAGGTTGGTAGATAGCAACCACCCAGGGAGGTACTACTGTCCTGTGGTAGTAGGTTGGTAGATAGCAACCACCCAGGGAGGTACTACTGTCCTGTGGTAGTAGGTTGGTAGATAGCAACCACCCAGGGAGGAAACTGTCCTGTGGTAGTAGGTTGTAGATAGCAACCACCCAGGAGGTACTACTATCCTGTGGTAGTAGGTTGGTAGATAGCAACCACCCAGGGAGGTACTACTGTCCTGTGGTAGTAGGTTGGTAGATAGCAACCACCCAGGGGAGGTACTACTATCCTGTGGTAGTAGGTGGTAGATAGCAACCACCCAGGAGGTACTACTGTCCTGTGGTAGTAGGTTGGTAGATAGCAAACCACCCAGGGAGGTACTACTGTCCTGTGGTAGTAGGTTGGTAGATAGCAACCACCCAGGGAGGTACTACTATCCTGTGGTAGTAGGTTGGTAGATAGCAACCACCCAGGGAGGTACTACTGTCCTGTGGTAGTAGGTTGGTAGATAGCAACCACCCAGGGAGGTACTACTGTCCTGTGGTAGTAGGTTGGTAGATAGCAACCACCCAGGGAGGTACTACTATCCTGTGGTAGTAGGTTGGTAGACAGAAACTACCCAGAGGTTACTACCATCGTGTGATAGTAGTTTGATAGATAGCAACCACGCAGGGAGGTACTACCATCCTATCAAGCGAGTGTAAAACAGAAGCCTATACATGATGGTAGGATTGCTGGTGTCTTTTTCCGGTCTCATAAACATGAAAGATTTCAGGGACGTCTTGCTATTTCTACTTACACTTAGGTCACGCTAAACATGCACACTATATACATACACACACACACACCTCTGGGTTTTCTTCAATTTTCTTACTAGTTCTTGTTTATTTTCCGCTTATCTCCACGGGGAAGTGGAACAGAATACCTGTGTAAGCCATGTGTCGTAAGAGGTGACTAACATGCCGGGAGCAAGGGGCTAGCAACGCCTTCTCCTGTAACATTACTAAAATTAAAAGAGAAACTTTCGTTTTTCTTTTTAGGCCACCCTGCCTTGGTACGATTTGGCCGGTGTGATGAAAAAAATTTACAATGAAAACTAAGCACTACGCCTGCAGATGTCACAATATTGAGGGACAGGTTAGGTGTAGAGAAATGGGAACAGTCACAAGTGGAAGTTAAAGACAGTGATGAGCCACAGTATTTCTTCAGCCCATAACACAGAACCATACACCCATACACACAACATAAACCCCCATACACATACACAACCAAACTCTTCCATACACACACAACCATACATCCCATACACACAACAGAATCATACACCCCATACACACAACAGAATCATACACCCCATACACCACAACAGAATCATACACCCCATACACACAACAGAATCATACACCCCATACAACACAACAGAATCATACACCCCATACACACAGAATCATACACCCCATACACACAACAGAATCATACACCCATACACACAATCATACACCCCATACACACAACAGAATCATACACCCCATACACACAACTATACACCCCATACACAGTACCATACACCCCATACACAGAACCATACATACAACCATACACACAACCACACACACACAACCACACACACAACCATACACCCACACACTACTTAAACATAAAAACAAGCCAGTGTTTCTACACAGTGACAAAGACGCAGCAGCATCATCGCTGAGAAGACTCACAGCATCAATATCATTGACGACATCCTCCTCCTCCTCAGAGTAGTCATCGAACTCAATGTCGTCATCCATACCGTCCTCCACGAAGGTGGCGTTCTCGTTCACCTTCACTGTAAGAATAACAATCATTATAACAGTAATAATAATCATTATAACTGTAATAAGAATTACAACAATAATGGAACAATAGTCAACATTTCTGGTAAAACTATTATCTAATGGAACAATCTTCTATTTCTAGTAAGAATAATGGAACAAGTCAATATTTCTAGTAAGACTAACCCCTTTCAGGGTCCAGACCCCTGAGCTAAAACTTTTTCTCAGGGGGCCAAAAATTGCCCCTTGCAAAAAAAAAAAAAAAAAATGGTAGAGAATGTTTTCTGAAGGTAATGACTCCAAAAGTATGAAATTTGATGAAAAACTGAGGGAATTACGCTTGTGCAAGTTAGCAGTCTCTGATACTTACGCACTGGCGATTTCACCCACCCTGAGACCTATTGTAGGTCAATTCCACTGTTCCAGTCGACCAAATTCTAAGCTATTTCACCGGTGTGTCTTCCACTATCAAGCACAAGAAACCACTATATCCAACTATTTCAACTACCCAATAAAACGCTCAGAATTTGGCAATTTGACCCATTTCTCACAAAATTAAAACAGTTAATTTAAGAAGTCATAATGTAAACATTACTGGTACTAAAGTAACATTTCCTCTGTACATTAGGCGCGTCTCCAGGTCTTTCCTTTATCACACGGAATTCAAAATCATACAAAAGCAGAAGAATTACTCCATTTCTTGGATAATATAAGTGGGCAAATTCGCTAGTGCATAAATATTGCCAAGACTGCTAACTTTGCAAAAGCGTAATTCCCAGTGTTTTCCATCAATTTCATACTTTTGGTGTCGTTTCCAGCAGAAAAAGATTCTCTCATTCCATGAGAAATTTTTTTTTATAAATTTTTGGACCCTGAGAGAAATTTTCAGGTCAGGGCCCTGAAAGGGTTAATGAGGTATACTTGTAAAACTATCATTATTAATCATCATTACTACTACTACTACAACGACTGGCATACGCCAACTCTGGAACATTTATCTTCCATTACTGCATTTGTGTTGTAACCCCACCAAGTCATCATGGACCCTAAGGTACGCAGTAAACACAGTTTCTCCGACGATCAAGAATTCGGTGTCCTGGCAAGCTACTATGGCTGTCATTAATCATCTCTGCTATCATCAAGCAAAAAATAATAAATTGAAGTGGCTGACAAATTTAAGGCACAGAAATTACCATAGAAACTGAAGGAGTAATTGTGAGAGTAACAGATGGAGGTAGGTACAGTGACTAAGTTGTACCTGACTGTTTAAGACAGTGAACGTTGCTCTTCCCGGATCCTGACCAATTTCCACATAACCAGGTACAAAGTGGAATGCCATTTGTTTCCATTCATAAATGTCAGATAAGTTTACACTAATATACACCTACCATCCGACTTACGACCGAGCTTGGTTCCGACCAACCGGTCGTAAGTCAAAATGGACGCAAGTCGAACTTTACTACTGAATATCAACATCACATTTTTGAAATGGCCTAGGCAGTAGGTTGGTAGACAGCAACCGCCCAGGGAGGTACTACCGTCCTGCCAAGTGAGTGTAAAACGAAAGCCTGTAATTGTTTTACATGATGGTAGGATTGCTGGTGTCCTTTTTTCTGTCTCATGAACATGCAAGATTTCAGGTACGTCTTGCTACTTCTACTTACACTTAGGTCACACTACACATACATGTACAAGCACATATATACACACCCCTCTGGGTTTTCTTCTATTTTCTTTCTAGTTCTTATTCTTGTTTATTTCCTCTTATCTCCATGGGGAAGTGGAACAGAATTCTTCCTCCGTAAGCCATGCGTGTTGTAAGAGGCGACTAAAATGCCGGGAGCAAGGGGCTAGTAACCTCTTCTCCTGTATATATTACTAAATGTAAAAGGAGAAACTTTCGTTTTTCCTTTTGGGCCACCCCGCCTTGGTGGGATACAGCCGGTGTGTTGAAAGAAAGAAAGAATTTTTGAAATGACTTATTTTATTGTTTTATTTTGGTATTTCATGTTTTACTTTACTTTTTATGTTGTTAGTATTGTATTTTATACTGTAAGGTTTAGGATAAACACTGTGTACAACACAAACACTTGTTTATTTCACAGAAATTTGGCATAAAAAACACTGTCGTAAGTCGGATGGTAGGTGTATATTAAGTTAGCAATAGAACTAGGCATTAAAAATAATAAAAAGAAAAATACACACACAGTACAGTATACTCATTACTTACCTTAAAATACTATTTGTAGTCTTAATGTAGGGCGAGAAGTGAACAGTGTTCATTGTAAGAAGTCAAGCGTGGTAGGTACGGTAGCCCACCTGGCCAACCCACTCACACGTAATATACTACGACATTTAACCCATTAACTGTCCAAACGTAGATCTACGGTCTTGCCGCTAGTGCTCTAAACGTAGATCCAAGTTTTATTTTTCCTGGCTTCAAATTTGGTGCGATAGGCCTGAGAGGCCTAGATATGAGAGAATGGGTCTGCGCACTCTGTGCCCTAAGAAAAAATCGGGGACCCCATAGTACTGCATGGTAGCACCAGTTACATTCAGCTCCATCTTGGGTTAACATCATGGCAAACACTCATGATTCACTCGTGCCTCATTGCATTAACACACTTATTCGAGGAAAGTGATATAGAATGCGACTTTAGTGGATCCGACACCGATGTGGGCACTAATGATCAAGGAATTAGTGAAAATATTGACGATAACCCGGTTGACACTCAGCCCATCTCCTCTGGGTTGGCCAGTGTGGCTATGCCATACCACTAGCCAAGCACTTCTGGGGTGGCCAGTGTGGCCACACCAGACCCTGGGCCAAACATTTCTGGGGTGGCCAGTGTGGCCAGTGTTACTACCCATAGGCAACTACACAAGAGGAAACTATCATTTTCGCGGTGTTTTAGCGATAGTGAAAGTGATGTAAGTGACAATAAGATTGATTTTATGCCATTAAAGAATTTGTCTAGTGACAGTGATGTTCATTATTCACCAGTGAAGTGTACATTAAGGTGTCGCCACCTACGTTCAGGCAGTGTGCCATATTCGGTCCCCAAGGGTCGTGGGAGGTCATGATCCAAAACCCCGGCCGCTGATAGTGATCATGAAGGAGAATATGAGGGGATGGAGGTAGTGGTGGTGGCGGGTGGCACGGTGCCTGGAGCACATGGCGCGGTGGGTGGACACACAAAGAACCGCGTGGCACCCCTTCAGCCATGTGTTTCCTCCACTCCTCCAGCTCCCCCCATACCCCATGCCACAGGTCCACCCTGCACCACGTGACCGTGAGTGGAACTGGACACAAAGTATATTAGTGCCACAGCCTTTTGATTTTGATGCGAGTGGAAGTGGCATCCTGCCAGAATGTCCCATAATTAACTGTTGGCTGCACGCAATCCAACGTATGAACTTTATGCATTGGCCATTAAATCAAAAGAATTACTATAAAACAATTATCGTACCATAAAAAAATAAAAAAAAAAATGGAAAAAAAAAAAACAATAAATATATGTAGAATTTCTGCAAGCGGCAGCACTCCAGTTATACTTTGACGAGCCTCTGATGAACTTGACAGTGACCCAGACAAGCAATTATCACCGATATATCATGGACAACGGTTGCAGAATCATCACGGCTGACTAGGTGGAAAGATACAACTGTGGCTGAAATGTATTTATTCCTTGCCACTGTCATGCTTATGCCACATACATATAAGTACAACATAGAACATTACTGGTCCAGAGACTACATCAGTACTCCTGTCTTCCATGACCTCCTTCCCTGCAACAGATTCACTCTGTTGCTACAAATGTTGCACTTCTCAGACAGGAATAGGCCCAAGAGAAATGATCTATAGAAAATCCAGGCAGTGTTTATGTATATGAAATAGAAATTCAGTGCATACTTTTATCCCCTTAAGAACATGTCATCGACAAGTCCCTGATTCTGTTCAAGGGGGCGTGCCTGTCATTCAAGCAATATATACCAAGCAATCGTAATCTTTGGTATAAAACTTTTTGAGTGTGACTGTGAGAGTGGTCTTGTGTTGGATGTCACTGTATACACCAGGAGAAACAATGATGACAGACAGATGTTGGGCATTTCTGGTGATGTTGTTTGCAGGATGATAGAACCATACCTTGGCAAGGGCCATACATTGTACACAGACAACTGGTATACAAGCCCTATGCTCGCTGATTTCCTACGTGTGAACAATACTGTTATATGTGGAACAGTGAGAAGGAATAGAAAACATATGCCAAGGTTCAGTGGAGGCAGTGTTGAAGGTGCAGTGCAAGCGTTTCATGCTAATAACATCATGGCACTGACGTGCCATGACAAACGGGACGTGACATTGCTGTCAACCATCCACAAAAACGAGATGGTACAGAGAAAGTGAACCGGGACACCAATGAACGTATTGTCAAGCCAGCTGTTGTGGTCGACTATACGAACAATATGCGACTAGTCAACAAGTGTGACATGATGGTAGGGTTTGCCGACTGTGTACGTAGGAGTCGCAAGTGGTATATAAGTGTTTTTCCACTTTGTACACATTGCAGTGCTCAATGTGTTCAATTTGTACGAAATACTGAAAAATGACAACATTTCGCAGAATTCTCCCCGTCATAAAACAGATACCAAGTAAGTATGGTACCACACCTATACCTGCCCCTCAACAGCAACATGTTCCCCAACAACAACCAGTAGGAAAGTGCCAGACCGAATCATCCCTAACTGTCACTATTAATACCAATACCACCTACCCCAAAGAAGTATTCGCAAAAAAAGTGTGTGGCGTGTGCTACCACCACAAAATGACCCCAACAGCGGAAGGACACACAATTCATGTGTCAGCAACGTAGGGTGGCACTCCGTATGAATCCACGCTTCATGGAGTATCATACAATCCTGGAGTTCTAGAAGCATAAGTGGGACAAGTAAATACGCACTTGTACATAGTTGTCGATAATAGAATGTGATTCAGCCAGGTGTGCAAAATCACCTATCAGTGTGTACATGCGTGTTTGTGACAGTATGATTAAAATTTCGTATATAATATTTGTGTATAAACAACAATTACCTGGAGTTTACCTGGAGAGAGTTCCGGGGGTCAACGCCCCCGCAGCCCGGACTGTGACCAAACCTCATGGTGGATCAGGGCCTGATCAACCAGGCTGTTACTGTTGGCTGCATGCAATCCAATGTACGAACTTTATGCATTGGCCATTAAATCAAAAGAATTACTATAAAACAAATATTGTACCATAAAAAAAAAAAAAAAAACTATAAATATGTATAATTTCTGCAAGCAGTAGCACTCAATGTTGCCGTCAGGTGATCATCAAGTGCCAACTTCTGAAAATACAAACTCAAATGCAGCGGCAAAATTCACAACGACCACCGATACATTTGAAACCCGATGGCCGTCCTCTGCCAAGGCAGGACCACCTAAACGCCAATAGATTTTAAACCCAATGGCCAGCTTCCTACAGCGGCAAGGCCACTGAAAGAAGAAAGGCACATTCACTATTTTTCACCCAACGGACATGTTTCACCTACCAAAAACCGAGCGTAGACTTACCGGACTCTGGGATCTCGCCATAAGATTTCAGGTTGCGGGCCTCGTCAGCGTTGTATTTGAGGATGACGTCGGCTTTCTTGTCCTGGTAGTCACGTAGGCCTAGGAGAATGATGTCGCCTTGGTTGATCCAAACCTGAAAGATTCAAAATAGTATAGGCTGGGTTCACACCCTCCCACCCGGGCGCACACCCTCCCACCCGGGCGCACACCCTCCCACCCGGGCGCACACCCTCCCACCCGGGCGCACACCCTCCCACCCGGGCGCACACCCTCCCACCCGGGCGCACACCCTCCCACCCGGGCGCACACCCTCCCACCCGGGCGCACACCCTCCCACCCGGGCGCACAGCCTACCACCCGGGCGCACACCCTCCCACCCGGGCGCACAGCCTACCACCCGGGCGCACAGCCTACCACCCGGGCGCACAGCCTACCACCCGGGCGCACAGCCTACCACCCCGGCACACAGCCTACCACCCGGGCACACAGCCTACCACCCCGGCACACAGCCTACCACCCCGGCACACAGCCTACCACCCAGGCACACAGCCTACCACCCAGGCACACAGCCTACCACCCAGGCACACAGCCTACCACCCAGGCACAGCCTACCACCCAGCCTACCACCCAGGCACACAGCCTACCACCCAGGCACACAGCCTACCACCCAGCCTACCACCCAGCCTACACCCAGCCTACCACCCAGCCTACCACCCAGCCTACCACCCAGCCTACCACCCAGCCTACCACCCAGCCTACCACCCAGCCTACCACCCAGCCTACCACCCAGGCACACAGCCTACCACCCAGGCACACAGCCTACCACCCAGGCACACAGCCTACCACCCAGGCACACAGCCTACCACCCAGGCACACAGCCTACCACCCAGGCACACAGCCTACCACCCAGGCACACAGCCTACCACCCAGGCACACAGCCTACCACCCAGGCACACAGCCTACCACCCAGGCACACAGCCTACCACCCAGGCAGCACAGCCTACCACCCAGGCACACAGCCTACCACCCAGGCACACAGCCTACCACCCAGGCACACAGCCTACCACCCAGGCACACAGCCTACCACCCAGGCACACAGCCTACCACCCAGGCACACAGCCTACCACCCAGGCACACAGCCTACCACCCAGGCACACAGCCTACCACCAGGCACACAGCCTACCACCCAGGCACACAGCCTACCACCCAGGCACACAGCCTACCACCCAGGCACACAGCCTACCACCCAGGCACACAGGCTCATCACTAATCTTATCAAATTTAGAAAAAAAAAATTAAAACATTGCAGTGTCAAATGGGAGTCACCCCCAAGGAGGGCTAGGGGGGTCTACAGCCCCCTCAAAAGCCCAATATAAATTAACACAGCTTTAAAACTAGTCCCCTAGAGTCTGGTTATAAACAGATAGCCCCCCCTAGTAACCAACTAACAACCAACCCTGGGTTACCCTGGCTTGCCAACAACCAACCCTGGGTTACCCTGGCTCACTAACAACCAACCCTGGGTTACCCTGGCTTGCCAACAACCAACCCTGGGTTACCCTGGCTCACTAACAACCAACCCTGGGTTACCCTGGCTCACTAACAACCAACCCTGGGTTACCCTGCCTCACTAATAACCAACCCTGGGTTACCCTGGCTTGCCAACAACCAACCCTGCGTTACCCTGGCTCACTAACAACCAACCCTGGGTTACCCTGGCTTGCCAACAACCAACCCTGGGTTACCCTGGCTCACTAACAACCAACCCTGGGTTACCCTGGCTCATTAACAACCAACCCTGGGTTACCCTGGCTCACTAACAACCAACCCTGGGTTACCCTGCCTCACTAATAACCAACCCTGGGTTACCCTGGCTTGCCAACAACCAACCCTGGGTTACCCTGGCTCACTAACAACCAACCCTGGGTTACCCTGGCTCACTAACAACCAACCCTGGGTTACCCTGGCTCACTAACAACCAACCCTGGGTTACCCTGGCTCACTAACAACCAACCCTGGGTTACCCTGGCTCACTAACAACCAACCCTGGGTTACCCTGGCTCACTAACAGCCAACCCTGGGTTACCCTGGCTCACTAACAACCAACCCTGGGTTACCCTGGCTTACTAACAACCAACCCTGGGTTACCCTGGCTCACTAACAACCAACCCTGGGTTACCCTGGCTCACTAACAACCAACCCTGGGTTACCCTGGCTCACTAACAACCAACCCTGGGTTACCCTGGCTCACTAACAACCAACCCTGGGTTACCCTCACTCACTAATAACTAATCCTGGGTTACCCTGGCTCACTAACAACCAACCCTGGATTACCCTGGCTCACTAACAACTAACCCTGGGTTACCCTGGCTAACAACCAACCCTGGGTTACCCTGGCTCACTAACAACCAACCCTGGGTTACCCTGGCTCACTAACAACCAACCCTGGGTTACCCTGGCTCACTAACAACCAACCCTGGGTTACCCTGGCTTACTTAACCACCAGTAAGACTCACCTTCTTACGTAGCTTGCCTCTAATATGACAGAGCCGCTTCATACCGTCTGTAAAACACAGAGCTTCCAATCTGCCGTTACCCAGCATTTTCGTCACCTGAAAATTGTCAACAATTTCAGCCAATCGCCAAAGCCCAAGAAAACCATCATAATGTGATTTTTGTGAATTGTTTGGTTTGAACGATTCGTGTGAATTTAAATTATCTGTGAATTAAGTGATTTGTGCAAATCTGAAATTATTAAATTACATAATTCTAATAAAATAATTAAATTGTAATGACTTTAAAAAACAATGTAAATGAATCTTGTGAAATGTGTAAATAATTCTAGTTTAATAATTCGTTACACAATTCTCGTTATATAATTCGTTACATAATTCTAGTTAGTACATAATTATAGTTAATCGTTACATATAAATAATTCAAATTGTTACAAAAATAATTCTAGTGAATTTAAATAATTGAAGAAAAGATGTTGAATGAATTATTGTGATCACATTGACCAAGGTAACTGTTGTACGAGTTGACTGTGACGCATCACTGCGTACTACAACTGTACGTGTGTACGCGCATCCCGCGCTAGAGTACGCGCATCCCGCGCTAGAGTACGCGCATACCGCGCTAGAGTACGCGCATACCGCGCTAGAGTACGCGCATACCGCGCTAGAGTACGCGCATACCGCGCTAGAGTACGCGCATACCGCGCTAGAGTACGTATACACAGCACCAGGGTGGTATACACAGCACCAGGGTAGTATACACAGCACCAGGGTAGTATACACAGCACCAGGGTAGTATACACAGCACCAGGGTGGTATACACAGCACCAGGGTAGTATACACAGCACCAGGGTAGTATACACAGCACCAGGGTAGTATACACAGCACCAGGGTGGTATACACAGCACCAGGGTAGTATACACAGCACCAGGGTAGATATCACAGCACCAGGGTAGTATACACAGCACCAGGGTGGTATACACAGCACCAGGGTAGTATACACAGCACCAGGGTAGTATACACAGCACCAGGGTAGTATACACAGCACCAGGGTAGTATACACAGCACCAGGGTAGTATACACAGCACCAGGGTATCACTAACCTGGGCATATTCTTGACCTTCTTCCTTGAAGATCAGTTCTCTCTTCTCGGCTTCGTTCTCGTTCTTACCTCGCCGCCTGTTCTTACCTCCCTTTCCTGTACATCAATCTTATATCAGTAGTCGAAGTAGTATCATCACCAATATTAAAGTATTAGTAATAGTATTACTGATAGTAATAGTATTAGTGATACTAATAGTATTATAATATGTAGTAGTAGTATTAGTAATAATAGTATTAGTAATAACAGTATATGTATATGTAATACACGTGCATATCCCTTTATATGAAACCCTTGGGGGCCTGTATTGTTTCATATTTCAGAAAGAGTTGGTGCCGCCGCATGGTGGCGTGACCCAGCACGGAGATGACCGACGCTCCACACTCCACGAATAAACTTTGGTTTTCGGAACTTTTTGAATTTCAGAACTTCGTATAAAGGGATGTGGACCTGTAATAGTACACGTAATATTACGGCATCTCGTCACTTAACGACAGAGTTGCGGTCCTAAGACCACGTCGGTAAACGAAGTCGTGGCTAAGTGAGGAGCATACTATAATGGTAGCGAGTGTGTCGACCATCTTTGATATTGTCTATGTCACTTTTGCACCATTTAAACATTTCTGGTATATTTTTAAATGTTTATACAGTAGTGTATATTGTAATACATAGAATAGAGGAAATCAGCTCTAATATACATTACAGTTGAACCTTGACTTAGGAGTTTAATCCGTTCCGTGACCGAGCTCGTAACTCAATTTGCTCGTAAATCAAATCAATTTTCCCCATTTAAATTAATCGAAATGCCATTAACCCATCCCAGCGGCAGGACAAAATATTTCAATATAACTCTACAGCTTATTTATCACAATTCATCTAATATGACATAATAAACAATGTGATTAAGAGAGAAACACGATATATATTCTAGAATGAATAAAATAGGCAGCACACTCCACCAATATTCAATACACTCAACCTACTCACCATACAAAACATCCATACTTATTACTGCACCTATTACATACATAGAACACTTAACTCTGATATTAACCCTCCCCTCAAACATCTCCTTGCCAACCTCAACAGAACACATGACCATAACACAAGGCACAGATCACTCTTTGATGTTCCTCGTGTCCATCTCACACTATGCAAAAACTCAATGCACATAAAAGGCCCTAAAATCTGGAATTCATTACCTGTAAATATAAAAGAAACACAACCTGTTTATAAATTCAAGTCTCTTCTCAAAGATCACTTACTCACCCAAAACCAAATACAGTGGACCCCCGCATAACGATTACCTCCGAATGCGACCAATTATGTAAGTGTATTTATGTAAGTGCGTTTGTACGTGTATGTTTGGGGGTCTGAAATGGACTAATCTACTTCACAATATTTCTTATGGGAACAAATTCGGTCAGCACTGGCACCTGAACATACTTCTGGAGTGAAAAAATATCGTTAACCGGGAGTCCACTGTAAATACTGAATAACTGAACCATATAAATTGTATATCCTAAATGTTTCTCACAATTATATCACACAAATGTTAAACCTAACTTTGTTATTTTTTTTTTAAATACACTACCTGAATGAACAGCAATGCAAGCAACCACATGACCTGTCTTTGTAATACTCATTTGTATTTTATAGTTATCTGTTTACAATAATGTTTTATCACTGATTTCATCATTGCTTAGTTAATCTTAAGTTAATTTTAAGCCAGCCCGTAATGCTATGTATATAAGTGGCTTTGGCATGCTGCTCTGACCTGTATTTTTTGTACCTCTGTATGTATGCTAAAATTTATAAATAAATAAATAAATAAATTAATATGACGAGTGATGAAGGCAGTGGAAGCAGCGGCAGCGTCTGTGTTCCGTCCTATTTCTATTGCTTAATCGCTTAACTAAGTACACTCTCAATGCTACTTTATTGTTGAACATAACTGGTAGAGCTTTAATATTTACACATCGTACATGTACGAAGGTGGTACTGCCTGGCTAAGTCCGTAGAAGTCGTCATCGTCTTTTCAGTACTGTCCTTCGCTTTTATTCTCTTAGGACCCATGGTTAGAAAAAAGAAATTTGGCCAAATTAAAAAAATACAAGCAAGCACGAGAAAACTGCTCCCACAGCGACGTAAACATGTGTACTGCTTACCCGATGTTTTGGCATCACCTGTGCCAACTAGCGGCAGCATTCTGTATTATTACATACTATGCATTATTATTATTAATTTAGAGAACTGAAGCTCATCAGTAATATAATAATAATAATAATAATAATAATAATAATAATAATGAGAGCTTCAGAACGCCACCGACTCGGTACACTGTTTACCTCGGTGTGGGAATATTTTTCTCCGGCTTTGCTGACATTTGACAGTCATTTGGCCAAATTTCATTTTTTAAGCGTGGGTCCTAAGGAAGTGTAAAGGACAAAGCAGAGAAGAAAAAGACGATTCCCATGGAATTAAAGCAGAAATCAAACAAGCGAGATGCACAGTGTTTTGTGTCGGGAGGAAGGGATCTTGCTCATAACTCGGAGCAAAAAATTGCTCAGCGACGACTCATATCCTCAAAAAACTTTGTTTTGGACACTCCCGTAAGTCGAGGTTTCCCACTGTATTAGGTATAAATATTGGTCACAGAGACCATCGTACATCCGAGTCGATGGTAAACGAGCACGCCGCTATGTGAGGAGAGACTGTAATAATATTACTGATATAGTAATTATTAGTATTAGTAATATTATTATTATTACCATTATTATTATAGTAAATATAATTATAATATTATTAATTAGTAGTAGTAGTAATATTTAATATTATTAGAAATATTAATATTATTAGAATAATTAAGTACTATTATCATTATTAATAGTAAAAATATTAGTATTATCATTATTATTAATATTATTATTAGTAGTAGTAATATTAATATTAGTAATATTATTACCATTATTATTAGTAATAATAGTAATATTATCATTAGTATTATTAGTAGTAGTAGTATGTTAATAATAGTAATATAAGTAGAAATATTATCACTTTAGTAAATATTTATTATATATAATTTTAAATAATTTATTACCGATATAAAAATTTATTTCAATTAAAAAAAAAATATATAACTAATTCCACCTATAATTTTGACCCCAGATTAAGTGTGGTATAATTCCAGAGGCCTATTATACCACATAGGCCTATTATACCACATAGGCCTATTATACCACAGGCCTATTATACCACAGGCCTATTATACCACAGGCCTATTATACCACATAGGCCTATTATACCACAGAGGCCTATTATACCACATTATAGGCCTATGACAATATTAATTTAAACTAAAAAATTCTGAATTTTATCCATTTACGTCTTATGGATTTTAATTTTATTAATTTATTCGACAATTACTGGAATTATACCCATGAATTATACCTGGGATTATAGAGGGGTGGTCCTAGATGGGCTGACCGTCGTTATTTCCTGGTATTTTGGGGTATTTTTGGGTATTTTGGGCATTAAATAAGGCGATGAGGGGCTGAAATTAGGTCGCCATTCGAGATCAATGATCCATTCCGTCCATTTTTTTTCCTAATATAAATTATAGCAATTATCCCAACAAATTATACCTCAAATTATAGAGCCATGAGTCTAGAATAATTATACACCCTTATTTCCGACCATAATTGGGTATTTGAAGACATTTTGGGCATTAAAATAACCAAGACGCAGGACTCAGAATCGGCCATTACCAAACAAAAAAATCCTCATTTCGTCAATTTTCCCCCAAATTATAGCAATTATCCCCGCAAATTATACCTCAAATTATACAGCCATCACTGTACTATAATTACAAACCCTTATTCTTAGGCATAATGGCGTATTTGTGGCGTTGTGGGCAGTAAAAGTGGCGAGGAGGAGCAGGTGTTGGCACCAGCTGGAGACACCATCAACAAGGACCAATAATTATACAACTCAGAATCTAAACTATAATTCAACTATAATTTAAAAATATAATTGAGTATTGGAAAAATTCAATGATTTATTTTAGTTGATTTTTTTATATTTATTTGACGTGAATGTTTTATTTGGAGAGTTGATATTATTGTACTGAATTTGCGATCTAAACTATAATTCAACTATAATTTAAAAATATAATTGAGTATTGGGGAAATTCTATAATTTATTTTAGTTGATTTTTTATATTTATTTGACGTGAATGTTTTATTTGGAGAGTTGATATTATTGTACTGAATTTGCGATCTAAAATATAATTTAGTTATAATTTAAATATATAATTCAGCTATAACTTAAAAATATAATTCAGTATCCAGGAAATTCTATGATTTTTTTAGTGGATTTTTTATATTTGTTTGACATGAATCTTTTATCTGGGGAAAAAATATTTTAGTAATGAATTTGCGATCTAAAATATAATTCAGCTATAATTTAAAAATATAATTACGTATCCCGAAATATCTATAATTTTTAGTGGATTATTTTAAAGATATATTTGACATATATTTTACAGTTTTCAAAAGAAATTTGCAATGAAGTCAAATTATAAACTATAATTAATCTATAATTTAACAGTATAATCATCTAATTAAAAATCTATAATTTTTTTTGTAAATTATTTTATATTTATTCTTAATAAATCTTTTATTTAAACAATAATAAACTCAGAACATAAACTATAATTTAACTATAATTTGAAGGTACAATTATATATAAAAAAATATGTAATTTTTTATTGTATTTTTTTTATATTTATTTATAATATTTATAATGTTTCTAAAAATCATTCAAATTTCTTTTAATGGAAACATCAGTAGATAATTCGTCAAAATACCCTTATTAAAAATGCAAAGTAGACAGATAGAATTAAATTATGTGATTCTAATGCATAAAATAATTTAATTATTATTTATAAAGCGCAATTAAGGCATTAATAATAGTACTTAGGTCTTCTAAAAAGTTAAATCTGGATTATGCGTCAAGTCTACTAGCACTAAAAAAAAATCACATTTTATTAATAAAAATTACAAAAATGGGATTATTTGTTAGATATAATAAAGAAATAAAATTTCTTTTAACTGCATGTTAAAATTTTGACACTATTTAATTTAATGTGAATTATTTTGAGATTAACATATGACTAAGATTATAATTTGTGGTACAATGCGTCAAATTTATAAGCAATCAAAAATCTCAACTTATAAATAAAATATAGGAAGCATGAATAAAATAATATAAATACAATGTAGTAATTACCTTAGTAACTAACTAATTGGTTTAATTCTGACATAAATTACGTTAAAGTTTAATTATTTAAGGTTAAATATCAGTAAGATTATAATTTGTACAGACATTCCTAAAGTGTAAACAAACAATGGTGACTGAGGCAGACGTCTTGTTATTTATATATTAAAACTGAGCCTCAAGCTTTAAGTAAGCTTTTGAAACTTTGCTGATTTATGTGGTAAGCTTTATCCTGGGTGTCTGTAAGCTTAGAACCCTTAGACAGCTATGTTAACACTAATAACAGGAATTTTGGAACGTGTTGGTCTCGTATAACAGTGAGGAGTTATTTCTGGGTGTTTAAGTATTCTGTGTTGAGTTTTCTGGGGTTGAGTTTATCTGGGTTGAGTTATCTGGGGTTGAGTATTCTGGGTTTGATTTATTCTGGGTGCGTTAAGTTATTTCTGGTGTTGAGTATTCAGGGGTTTAGTTATTCTGGGGTTGAGTTATTGCTGGGGTTGAGTTATTCTGGGGTTGAGTTATTTCTGGGGGTTGAGTTATTCTTCTGGTGTTGAGGTTATCTGGGGTTAGAGTTATTCTGGTGTTGAGTTATTCTGGAGTTGAGTTTATTCTGGGGTTGAGTTATTTCCATGTGTTGAGTTATTCTGGTGTTGAGTTATTCTGGGGGTTGAGTTTATTCTGGGTTGAGTTATTCTGGGTTGAAGTTTATTCTGGTATGTTGAGTTTGTCTGGGGTTGAGTTAATCTGGAGTTGATTATTCTGGGGTTGAGTTATTCTGGTGTTGAGTTATTATCTGGGGTTGGAGTTATGTCTGGGTTGAAGGTTATTCTGGTGTGGAGTTATTCTGGTGTTGAAGTTATTCTGGTGTTTGCGTTATATGGTTGTTGAGTTATTCTGGGTTGAGTTATTCAGGTGTTGAGTTATTCTGGTATGAGTTATTCTGGTGTTGAGTTATTTCTGGTGTGAGTTATTCTGGTGTGAGTTTATTCTGTGGGTAAGTTTTTTCTGGTGTTGGTTATTCTGGGGTGAGTTTTTCTGGGGTTGAGTTATTTCTGGTGTTGATTATTGCTGGTGTTTAGTTATTCTGGGGTAGTTATTCTGGGTTGAGTTCTATTCTGGGTTGAGTTATTCTGGGGTTGAGTTATTCTGGGGTTGAGTTATTCTGGGGTTGAGTTATTCTGGTGTTGAGTTATTCTGGGGTTGAGTTATTCTGGGGTTGAGTTATTCTGGGGTTGAGTTATTCTGGTGTTGAGTTATTCTGGGTTGAGTTATTCTGGGTTTGAGTTATTCTGGTTGAGTTTATTCCCTGTGTGAGTTAATTCTGGGGTTGATTATTCTGGGTTGATTATTTCTGGTGTTGAGTTATTCTGTGTTGAGTTATTCTGGGGTGAGTTATTCTGGGGTTGAGTATCCTGGGTTTTGAATTATCCTGGGGTTGAGTTTATTTCTGGGTTGAGTTATTCTGGGTTGAGTTATCCTGGGTTGAGTTATTCTGGGGTTGAGTTATCGCTGATTGAGTTATTCTGGGTTGAGTTATTCTGGGGTTAGTTTATCTGGGGTAGAGTTATTCTGGTGTTGAGTTATCCTGGGGGTTGAGTTATCCTGGGTTGAGTTTATCCTGGCGTTGAGTTTTCTGGTTGTGAGTTATTCTGGTGTTGAGTTATCCAGGGGTTGGGGTTGAGATTAAGTTGAGAGTTGAGTTAAGTATCTGGGGTTGTTATCCTGGGGGTTGAGTTATCCTGGGGTGAGTTTTATTCATGAGGGTTGAGTTTATTCTGGTTTTGAGTTATTCTGGTGTGAGTTTATTCTGGGCTTGAGTTATCTGGTTTTGGAGTTATTCTGGGTTGAGTATATTCTGGGGGAGCTTGAGTTATTCTGTTTTGAGTTTTATTCTGGGGTTGAGTGATACTGGGGTGAGTTATGAGGATAGACTAAGGCCCTGATCTGCACTCACCAAAGACGTAGATTTAGGGGGGATAGGATTGAGGGTATAAATGGAAGACAGGAAATAAATTAAAGGACGTAAATAGTGTGCTGAAAAATATCTAGCGCCAACAGGAACTCGGCAGCAATGTTTTACGTTGGAAAAAATCAGATTCAGGAAGGATATAGGAAAGTACGTGGGTTGGTAATAGAGTTGTGGATGAGTTGAACAAACCCCCTTGTACAGTTTATTGAGGCTATAAACGTTGTTGTAGCTTTAAAAATAGGTTGGATAAATCATGAGTGGAGTGGGTGGGTGTTGAGTTTTTGACCTGACTAGCTTTGTGCTACCAGTCGTTGCCGTGTTTCCTCCCTTAAGTCAGTGGTGACCCTGACCTGACTAGGGTTTGGTTGCATTGGCTTAAGCCGTAGGAGACTTGGAGCTGCCTCCGCATGGGCCAGTTAGGCCTTCTGCAGTGTTTCTCCTTCGTTCTTATTCTTATCCTGGGGTTGAGTTATTCTGGAGTTGAGTTTATTCTGGGGTTTGAGTTATTCTGGGGTTTGAGTTATTCTGGGTTGAGTTATCCTGGTGTTGAGTTATCCTTGGTTGAGTTATTCTGGGGTTGAAGTTATTCTGGGTTGTGAGTTATCACTGGGGTGAGTTATTCTGGAGTTGAGTTATCTGGGGTTTGAAGTTATCCAGGGGTTGAGTTATTCTGGGGTTGATTATCCTGGGATTGAGTTATTCTGGGTTGAGTTTATATCCTGGGGTTGAGTTATCATGGGTTGAGTAATCATGGGGTTGATTTATCCTTATCCTGGCTTGAGTTATTCTGGTGTTTTGAGTTATTCTGGTGTTGAGTTCTCCTGGGGTTGAGTCTCTGGGGTTGGAGTTCCAGGGGTTGAGTTATCCTGGGGTTAAGTTATCCATGGGGTTGAGTTATTTCTGTTTGAGTTATTCTGGGGTTGAGTTTATTCTGGGGTTGAGTTATTCTGGGGTTAGAGTTATTCTAGGTGAGTTTATTATGGTGTTGAGTTATTCTGGGGTTGAGTTATTCTAGGTTGAGTTATCCTTGGTTGAGTTATTCCTGGGGTTGAGTTATTCTGGTTTAGTTATATCTGGGTGTGGGTTATACCTGGGGGTGAGTTATCCTGGGGTTGCGTTATCCTGGGATTGAGTTATTCTGGGGTTGAGTTATTCTGGGGTTGAGTTATCCTGGGGTTGAGTTATTCTGGTGTTGAGTTATCCTGGGGTTGAGTTATCCTGGGGTTTTTGAGTATCCTGGGTTGAGTTATTCCGGTGTTGATTATTCTGGTGTTGAGTTATTCTGGGGTTATCCTGAGTTATCTTGGGGTTATCCTGAGTTATCCTGGGGTTATCCTGATTTTTCCTGGGGTTATCTTGAGTTATCCTGGGGTTGAGTTATTCTAAATTATCTTATGGTACACTGAGAGACAACACAATAAGTGTCAGGGGCCCAAGACTGTTCAACTGCCTCCCAGCATACATAAGGTGGATTACCAATAGACTCCTGGCTGTCTTCAAGACCTATGGTTGTCTTCAAGACCCCTGGTTGTCTTCAACCCCTTGGCTCTTTTCAAGACACCTGGCTGTCTCAGACCCCTGCTTGTCCTTCAGGGGAGAGATCCCTGCTGTCTTCAAGACTCCTGGCTGTCTTCAAAGACTCCTGCTGTCTTTTTCCCAAGATCCCTTGGCTGTCTTCAGACTCTGTTGTCTTCAAGACCTTGTTTCTTCAGACCCTGGTTGTCTTCAAGATCCCTGGTTGTCTTCAAGAAAAACC